GTGATTTTAGAACAAACCCCAGCGTGAGCTCTGTCGCTTTTAGATTTTTCCTCAATCTGAAGAAGAGCGTTTGGACTGTGCTGTTTGAAAACATGCCTGTGTGTTCTGTAGCGAAGCCGCACAGTCATCCCTTTGGTTCTTTTCTAGGCTTGCTTATCTTCAGAGGCAGAAATGGCTTAAATGGGAGTTTCTACAATCGACTAAGCTTCCGACACAGCAGAATCCCATGGTCCCACAACCCGTTTGTTCTTTACGTGAAACAGGCCTCGGGGGAGAGGTTTGAGGAGGGGGTTTTATTCTTAAAACGGCATATTTGTAGAGAATGCCCTTTATATATGTTCTAAGGAAAAGTGTACAAATACTCGATGATTAAAGCGTCTCTGTGAAAGTGGCTTTGGACCACGCCAGCATCTGGTTTCTTTTTGCTGTGACCCACCCCGTCCCGGAGCTGGTCGGGTCTGGCTGGATGTTCTGCCCAGGGAGTACCTCACTTGGTAACTGCTTGGTTCTGAACATTCTCTCATTTCAGGAATTGATGAGGTTGTCTTCTTTTGACTGACGGAGATCACAAAATTCTTGGATTCCTGGAAAACAAGATGACAGGCATAGAGTGCTAAGAATTGTCCACCCCTGGACAGCCCCATCCTGTGCTGGGGAGGGCCGTGTCTCGACAGGGCTGGAATCCTCTGGCGAGTTCCATAAAAAGCCCTGTGTCTGTGATGCCCTGAGTCTTTGAAAGTGACCGGAATACCTTACACTGCCCATCAGAGTCATAACCAATGGCTGAAGCCTTCCTCGGCCCATCTATAGATGGAGGATTCTGGGAATGCTGTTTCCTTACCCTCAACATCATTTTTCTAGGCAAGTAAAACCCAGCCACAAACTTGGAGACCGCAGCTTTAACAAACACTGACACCTTTGCCTTCACTCTGGGGCCTCTGATGGCTGCCACTGGCTGCACGTGGGTTTGGTCTGGCTAACCAAAGTTTTTATTTCTATTTTTTTAAGACACGGTCTCACTCTGTTGCCCAGGCTGGAGTGCAGTGGCGCGATCTCGGCCCACTGCAACCTCTGCCTCCCAGGTTCAAGCTATTCTCCTGCCTTAGCCTCCTGAGTCGCTGGGACTACAGGCGAGCGCCACCACACCCGGCTAATTTTCATATTTTTAGTAGAGACAGTGTTTCTCCATGTTAGTCAGGCTGGTCTCGAACTCCTGACCAGCCTCAAGTGATCCGCCTGCCTCCTCCACCCAAAGTGCTGGGATTCCCAGTGGGAGCCACTGCACCTGGCCTGTTTTTTTGTTTTTATCAGTTACTTTTTTAAATGAATTACTTTATCGATTTATTGGGATGTATTTCCTAAGCCATAAATTTCACCCCTCACCGTGTTTTTTAAACTATGAATTAATTCACTATACTCACACACTGAGAGATTTCTCATGGACTCCTGGCTTCCTGGGCTATGGAGGCCACTCTGTGGTCATTGCAGACCCCACCACCCACCCGTCCTTCCACACCCCCCATACCCTTGGCTCCTTTATGTTGCTTCCTGCCCCACAGGCATCTGCATTTAGTACTCATGGAAATACTTACTCTGAATTATACTTCTGTAGGCTAACGTGGCTGGGGAATCTGGGGCGTCAATGAAGAAGGACTGGCCTTTGTCACAATTCTTACCTTAAAAGAAACAAATGGAAGACAATTCAGTCCAAGAGGAAAACAGAGTGGCCACAAGATCTTGGGGCTCCTTCTGTGCTGGTGACAATGGGAATATTTTGAGTCCGTTTCACTTGTAATGAAGAACAATGTAGAAAAGGCCACTGGGGTCTCTGGGACCTTCCTTCCAGCAGGGTCCCCAGCCAGCATTTCAGCGTGGCTAAATAATCAGGTGGCGTACAGAAAATGCAGGTTCCAGGGCCCTACAGAGAACTGATTCAGCAGCTTCCAGGTGGGCCCAGGAGTCTGCATTTTAAGAGATTAGCTTTTGAGCAAAAGGATCATGAATGCACATGATTAAAAAAAGTACAGAATACAAAAGGATATGGCATGAAAGGCCAAGTCCAAAAAGGGCTACTAGTGCTCTAGGTGTCTTTCCAGAAAGATTATGCGCATATAAATGTGCACATTCGCAAGTGTGCACACACACATACACACACTCACCTAAAATACGAGTGGGAGCACATGACACACACATTCTGCCCACTGCTTTGTCTGTGTATAATTTTATCTTCCAGGTCATCTGTGCTGGTGTCCATCCGTCTGCTAGTCTTTCCCTGCCATGTGGCCATTGTTCCAGTCCCCTCCTATGCACACCCAGGTTTCTCTAGGACTATGTTATCCCAGAGCCAGGAGGACAGGACACAGGGGCCTTGGAGTCATTGGGGGTGTTCTCGCCCCCAGTCTGCCCTACCAGCACCCACTTGTGGGTGGACCTGCCATCAGCTTGCTCTCCCCACTCTCCAGGCCCTGAGCTGCCGGAGAAACAGGGCCAAGTGACTGCACTGCCCATGTCCGGTCACTAGCCTCAGGTGAACCCCAGGAGTTCCTACCTTGCACCTACCATTTCCTCAACTTCACTACTGTGCTGCCGTGTGGGACAGGGAAGTCCAAGTCGGGGAAGAAGCCTGTGGGGAGACGGTGGTGGGAGATGGGGAGCCCAGATGGCCCAGTGATGCAGGAAAATAGGGAACATAAGGCCAATTCGCACTTGAGCCATAACAGGAAATGTCCTCTCCATAGGACGTACGCCATAAATGACTCTGTAACTTTACTTCATCCTGTTCGTTTATATAGGACGTACCCCAAGTAGAGGATATTTAAACACAAAAACTCTGTAATGGGGCCTTTGAGCCCCTATTCTCAGGCCCATTCCCTTCCCACACTGTGGAGTTTACTTTCATTTTCAATAAATCCTTTCATTCCTTCCTCGCTTTGTGCGTTTTGTCCAGTATTTTGTTCCAGGCGCCAAGAACCTGGACTCCCTCTGGAACTTACTAGGGAGGCCCCTGAGTGCACGTTCGCTGGGCCAGACTTGGGAGGCTGGGGATCCCAGAATAGTCATGCTGGGGGTACTTTCTGTCCCTGATTTTCACCCAGGTCTCCCTTTCCCAGAGGGCTCCCTAGCCCCCAACACACACATATGCTCTAGTGTTTTCCCATCCTAACTGCATTTCCCCCTGGGCTCCCACTTCTCTGAGAACGGGCATCATCATCAGAACAGCTGGTGTGAGCACAGCCCTGTTCCAAGAGATCCCAGGCATCCTCTCTCCACCCTGGCAGATCCCTCACTAGGCACCATTGTCACCTGCATTTTACACACGGGGCCATCGAGGCTGAGAGGGGAAATGACTAGCCCAAGTCCCACAGCTAGTGGCGAAGCAGGGATCTGAGGCCAGCCCTTCCTGTGATCCTCAGCACACGGGGGCCAGGACCCACAGCACCAGAGCGCTGGCATCTGCAACTTTGCCACCATGTCCCCAGAGGGGACTGAAGTGCTGTCCTCGTGTCCTCCTGTCTGTTCTTAGGAAGGTGGCTTTGCCCCCACTCTGTCCCCAGTGACCTTGCCAGATGTGTGTCTGTCGCTTGGCCCTCACGCTCCACCCTCTTGGGTGTGTGACAGTGTTAACCACCCCTTCCTTTCTGGCACTCCCTGGCCTTGCTATCTGTGGTTTCCCCTCAAGGTGAGGTTCCGCAATGTGCCATCTGACACACAGGACCAGGCCCACTGGAAGGCACTTAATGCTCTCAGCTCAGAACGAGCCCCGCAGCTATCATTGGCGGCTCCTCTGCTTTGAAATTAGCTCTTGTGAACCACCTGGAACTTTGCTTCTTTGTGAAAAGTGGCCCTGAAAGGAAAGACCAGGGCCGAAGCCAGGGCTCGGTGTGAGGGAGGTGGGAAGATGGAGGTTGGTGGCTCTTTGGAAGAAAAGCCACATCAGGATCCAATAGAGGGCCCCAAGGTCACTTCCTGATCTGTCAGACAATGGCAATGGCAGGTCTGTGGCTAGGCCCATGGACATATTTGGGTGGGTCAGCAAGCAAGCATGCCATTGTTTTTTTTTTTTTTTTTTTTTTGGAGACAGGGTCTTGCTCTGTTACCCAGGCTGGAGTGCAGTGGTGTGATCAGGGCTCACTGCAATCTCAACCTCCCCGGGCTCAAGTGACCCCGCTAACTCAGCCTCCTGGGTAGCTGGGACCACAGGCACATGCCACTACACTGGGTGAATTGTTCTATCCTTTTTTTTTTTTTAACCCTGTGTTGCCCAGGCTAGAGCATGGTGTGTGTGTGTGTGTGTGTGTGTGTGTGTGTATTTAATGGAGTTAGTTGCCATCATTTAGTAATCAGGAGACTTTGGGTAAGGATATAGATTTCTAGCTCTTCGTTAAGTATTGGAAAATGTGGCAATTGTGATGGCCATAAGGACACACCTCTTGGATCTCTGGCAGCAGCTGCCAGGCTCCAAAATCCATCACCACGTTTGTGTGGAGGCAATGCTGCCCCCAGGCTGCTCCTAGCTAGTGACTGAGCTGAGCATGGCACTCGGGCAGGCACATTTCTGGGAGATGCAGGCCCTCTGATGGGTAAGTGGGCTCAGAAATGCCCTGGTGGCTGTGCCCAGCTTTCCTTGACAGCAGCCAAGACACTCCAGCAGACTGAGATGCTCCAAAAGACTGACACACTCCAACAGACTGAGATGCTCCAACAGACTGCCACACTCTAGCAGACTGAGATGCTAAAAAGTAAAGTACACTGAGGTGCTCTAGCAGGCTGAGATGCTCTTGAGGGCAGGGATGCTCCCTTGGGCTGAGATACTCCTATGGGCTGAGATGCTCTTGCAGGCTGATACGTTCCTTCCCCCACTCCTTCATCGTGGGTTAACACTCTCCTCTGTCATTTTCTCCCACAGATGTTTCCCCTGACAAACGTCCTGCCCACCAATCCCATCTCGGCAGAGCTGAACTGCGGCAGAGGCGCAGGCTAGCAGGAATGGATGTGCCCTGGGCTGCTGCAAGCTCTCGTCCCCAGTCACATCCATTCACGCAGCCCGACTGCCTCCAGGGGCCTTAGAGGGCAGCTCTCAGCACCACTTCCGGCCACTGCAAAAGCTGCCTGGTGAGTGTTTTATAATGCTGGGGAAGGTTGAGAAAGCAGCTGTACTTTTCTGCATTTTGTTGGGGAAATCACATGCCAGAGAAGTATTGTGGGATGTGGGAATAAGGGAAAAGGATTTGGGGACACAGTCTCCTGGGTACACAGGGTCTCTCGTGTTCTCCCGGGCTGTTCCCATCTTCAGAGTGGCCCTCGCACCTCACTCCCCCACCACTTCCTCAAGGCAGCTGTCCCCTAACACAGTCCTCCCGGCTCCCGCTTGGCAATCCTGTCCACGTCTTGTGGCTTCAACACTCAACTGCATGGACACGAACCACCTTCTCCTGACGGACCCCAGAGCCTGCTGACAACCTGAGCCCCCAAGCCCCTCATCCACAGCACCCCAGAAGGCCTGGCCTCCCTCAACCTGTCTTCACTGTCTCTGAGGGACGGACCCTCCTCCAGGTGGCTTGTACTGGCAGCAGGGACAACTCGACCCTCAGATGACGTCACTTTCTCTATTGTGTGTGTCCCTTCCTTTCTATACCAACACCAGAACCCAGGGCCTCATCCTGAACCTCTATCCCAGGGCAGCTGCCCCCGAGCCTCCTGCTCCCAGGTACGTGACACTGACACTCACTGACACTTAGCTGTTTCTCATAGGCTCCTATTCTTCCCCTGCAGCCAGGCCCTTCCCCAAGGCTCCCCACGTGGCTTTGTGGCTTCCCGCTCCCAGTCTCCAGGCTCTCCCCGCCCTCTCCCCAAGCACTAGGCCTCCACCCTCCTGGCCAGGGCATTCTTCACCCGCCCTGTCCCTCGCTCCCATCCCCCTCGTTCCCATCCCCCTCGCTCCCATCCCCGCACAGACACCTCTCACTGGCCTTGGTTCCCTGACAAATGAAGTAGAAGTTCCGAGGTATGGGTGCAGCTGGCACTCCTGGACCCTGGCCTCCCCTTCAGCCTTCTCTCTCTGTTCTCCCCTCAGACCTAAAGGCTAGTGATGGACCCCTGGCAGGAGCCCCACTGTGGGCCCCAGTAACAGTGATGGAGGCCCGCCTGGCTCTGCGGTCCTGGGGGACAGCAGCCTGCTGGGGGAGCAGCTTCGAGTGTAGGTCCTGCCCAGCGCCCTGCTGCGAATGGGTGCCCTGCAGGCATGTGGGTGGAGATGTGAACCCCGTCCCTCCTTCAGCCCCAGGGCCACTCAGGGAGTGGGCATCTCTTGGGATCCTGGGGGACCCAGGCACTGAAGAAGAGCATTTGCTGGGAACTTGGCCCCTGCTAGCAGGCCAGTGATCCGCGTTCCCGTCTGTCCCAGCGCTGGAGACAAAGGGGCCTCATCTGTGCGGTGCTGGCTTCTCGGGGCGCAGGAGGCTGGGCTCCTTCCTGAGGGACTTTTCACCTCAGGCTGCCCTTCTCTGTAACCTGGATGCCATGCCCATTCCCTGGTGCCCCTCTATCAGGCACCCTCCTCAGTCCCCTGGCACCAGCACCCTCACCAACTTCTACCCTGTTCTTCCAGGCCTCACCCCTCTGCCTGAGGCCTGCTTGCTCCCGCGACCTGCCCGCAGGGGTCTTGGCCTCTCTCCTGGTGGCCTCTCGGGGTGCCAGCTGGAGGGTGGGTCTGGCTCCAGCGCCCTACTAACCTTCCTCCTTCCATTGCCCCTCTCCGTAGCTGCCCCCATTGTGCCCGAACCATGCCTGTGGGGTTGACCAAGGAGTGAGGTCCCGCCCCACATGGGGGTCACCCACCTATGAGTGGATCCAGGGGCACTCTGCCTAGGAGAGGGACCTCCAGGTCCTGGCACATGAGCTCCGCACCCCCGGTCGTGGGAGGGAATATCTGAGATTCCTTCTGCAAAGCAAATTCAAAGGGGAGGAAACATCATTTTTTTGTAGAATCACAAGGATGGACCACATTTTAAAGAAACTTACAAAAAAAAAAAAAAAGGCTTAGTTTGAGTGTGAAACACTTAACACCAAAAGAACTTTCCTTCAGTCAGCAGAAAGGGATTTTAATTGTGATTCCACTTCCCAAAATTACGGGGAAAGCAGAAACGGTTTGCAGAGCAGCCTTTCGATTGTTTCCTCAACCATGAGAGCAGGACCTTGTTGGGCTCGCCTGGCGGCCCCACGCGCCCTCACCTTGCATTTAGGACAGATGAAGCCACTCATGTTCTCCACCACCCCGATGATAGGCAGCTTCACCTTGCGGCAGAAGTTGATTTCTTTCCGGACATCCTGGAGTGACACCTCCTATGAAGGTGAAAAGACCAGTGATTCCAGCAGCAAAGTGTGAGAAAGGGAATGTCTGTGCAGCCGAGAGGGTGGCTGCAGTGCAGTGGATACACAATCATAAAGCCTTAGAGGTTTCTGCCCTGACAGGGTTTGGCTCTGTGTCCTGTCCCCATCCAAATCTCAGCTCCAACTGCAATCCCCATCATTCCCACGTGCTGAGGGCAGTTCCTGGTGGGAGGTGATTGGATCATGGGGGCGGTTTCCCCCATGCCGTTCTCATGATAGTGAATTTTCACGAGATCTGATGGTTTTGTAAGTGTTTGACAGTTCCTCCTACACACTGTCTCTCTCACTGCTGCCACTGTGTAACATGTGCCTACTCTGCCTTCCACCATGATTGTAAGTTTCCTGGGGCCTTCCCAGCCATGCGGAACTGTGAATCAATTAAACCTCTTTCCCTTATAAACTCTCCAGTCTCGGGCAGTTCTTTATAGCAGTGTGAAAATGAACTAACACATGCCCTTTGCCAAATCCATATTTATTTAGTGCCTACTAGTGCTAAGCCCTGTTCATTTGAGGTGCTATTTACTTCTCACACAGCCAAATAGCAAGAAATCAATCTAAAAAAAAAATGACTCTTTTTTTTTTTTTTCCAGAGACAGGATCTCACTCTGTTGCCCAGGCTGGAGTGCAGTGGCACGATCATAACTCACTGCAGCCTCGACCTCCTGGGCTCTTGCAATCCTCCTGCCTCAGCCTCTTGAGTAGCTGGGACTATAGCCATGTGCTACTCGGCCTGGTTAACTTTTTAATTTTTTGTAGAGGTGGTTGTTGCCCAGACTGGTCTTAAGCTCCTGGTGTGAAGTGATCCTCCTGCCTTGGCCTCCGAAACTGTTAGGGTGAGAGGCATGAGCCACCGTACCTATCTGAAAAGACCTTTTAACACATCTACACGCTCCATGTCTCTATGCTATACTATATTCAGCCAGAGTGTACACTGTTTTCTAGACCAGAGCTTGGCAAACCCCAGCCTGGGGCCTGAATCTGGCTGGTTTTATAAATAAAGTTCCTCTGGAACCAGCCATGCCTGTCCCTCCGGGCACCATCTGTGGTTGCTTCACGCCACGGTGGCACAGCTGAGGGGCTGGGACAGGGACTGTGGGGTCCACAAAGCCTACTTATTATCTAGCCCTGTACAGAAAAGTCTGCCGATGCCTGCTGTAGCTAATTATAAACGCAAACAACTTTATGGACTAAAAGAAAATAGAGAATATTGCCCAATGTGGACAACTTTGCATTTCCTTCTAAACTCTGAGTTTTTACAGTGTGATTACTGTGTATACACACTGCTCAGTAGCTCCCTATTTTCCCCAGTTAATGTTACCACAGATCTCTGTGCCCAAGTCCTGCTGTGGCTTATCACTGTCAGGTGTAGTGACTCCTTAGCACCTGGGGCTTCACCACTCACGTGAGCCCGAAAGGCTCACGGCTTTGGGTCTGTTCTTTTCCTGAGATGCCTGTTTGGCTCTTGGCACTGAGGCAGGATGCAGAGGAAGAGGCGTTCAGCTAGAAAGTCAATGGGCTGCGACTCAGTCTCTCATTTCTTTGTTTCTTTTTTTTTTTTTTTTTTGAGACAGAGTCTTGCTCTGTGACCCAGGCTGGAGTGCAGTGGCACGATCTCGGCTTACTGCAACCTCTATCTCCCAGGTTCAAGCAATTCTCCTGTCTCAGCCTTCCAAGTAGCTGGGATTATAGGTGCCCACCACCACGCCTGGCTAATTTTTGTATTTTTTGGTAGAGACAGGGTTTTGCCATGTTGGCCAAGCTGGTCTTAAACTCCTGACCTCAAGTGATCTGCCTGCCTTGGCCTCCCAAAGTGCTGGGATTACAGACATGAGCCACTGTACCCAGAACCAACTACTTTTTAAAAATGCGACAGAAAACATTCCTAAGGACAAATCCACTTTACCTCCACTGCCATCACCCAGACCAGGCCATCCTCCCGCCCATCCAGGGACCCAGCTGGTATCCTCCTCCTCCGTGTGCCCACATGTTCCCTCTCTGCAGGATGCCAGAGTGGACACGAATCCTGTCACCATTTTCTGACCCAGACACCCTTCCCATGGCCGCTGGGCCATGGCTGTACCCTCATGTGTGTATCCAGCACCTGTTTTCCTCAGGGAGCCACAGGGGCCACCAGGGAGGGCCAGGCCCTTTTACTGTCCTGGTGCCTGGCACGTAGAGTTCAGTGAGTGCTGGATGAGGGTGAGACTATGGGTCGTCCTGATGGATTCTGGCCAGTGAGATCAAATCAAACCTCATTTGCTGGGCTTTCTTAGATGTGGAGGAGAACGTCACGAAGAGAAGTCAAGCGTAACTGTGGAGAAGAGCCCATGGTTTCTCAGGCCCCTGAGATGGACAGCATCATGGTCCTGCCTGCAGTCGCTCTCTGCGGGGCTTCCAGAGAGGAAACTTCCTATCGCTCTCCTCAGCTCGGGCTCACCAAGGGCCCTGCGGAATAGCCACCAGGTGACTGCTACAGAGCGGTGCTGGGTGTCACTAAGGAAGGAGCAAAGGCACCCAGTGGCTTATCTCGAAATCCCTGTCTGCACCTGGCTGGTTCTGTTGAAAACTGGAGAGATTTCCTAAATCATTCTGGGATGTAAATGGAAAATCCACTGTAGACTGGAGGACCTGAGACGTGGACATGGCAAGGCTGACGGGGACCGGCAGCACAATATGAATTATAACTGCACTGGTGGTTTCCCCAGTCTCCTCGACGAAAGTTCAAAAAGCATTCTTGACCTATTGTTTAATCCATGGACTAAAAAAAACAAATCGTTGAATGGTTGTCGGCTGCGAATGTTTAGACTAAAGACGAAGTTTTTCTTATTTTTATCTTTTGAGACAAGGCCTCACTCGGTTGTGCTGGCTGGACTACAGTGGCGTGATCATGGCTCACCGCAACCTCCTTTCCCCAGGCTCAGATGATCCTCCTACCTCAGCCTCCCAAGTAGCTGGAACTACAGGTGCAAGCCACCATACCTGGCTAATTTTAAACTATTTTTTGTAGAGATAGGGTTTCGCTATGTTGTTCAGGCTGGTCTCTAACTCGTGGACTCAAGTGATCCTCCCATCTCAGCCTCCCAAAGTCCTGGGGTTACAGGTGTGAACCACTGTGCCCGGCTGAAGTTTTTAACAAGAGGTTTCTGCAGATGCGCATTGGATGCAGCTGTGGAACACACACTGGGAAGAGCCTTGGTGAGACCAGGATATCAGAACTGGGCAGGAAAGAAACCTCGCCGTGTGGAGCACGGTTTGGACCCAGCTCCAGCTGGGAGCTCGCTCACCTGGGGAGTGGTGATGATCACTGCTCCGTCGATGCGTGCGGCGGCCAGGTACTGGACGACCGAGAGGTGTTCATCGGATGTCCCGGGTGGGGTGTCCACAATGAGGTAGTCGACCTCTCCCCAGTCCACATCTCGGAGGAACTGCTTGATCATGCCTAGAAAGAGGAATCCGCAGGGGGTGCTTATTTCTTTTCTGTACTTACAACTCCCTTCTTTTTTCAAGGATGGGGTCTTGCTTTGTTGCCCAGGTTGGCTCTGAACTCCCAGGCTCAGGCAATCCTCCCACCTCAGCCTCCCAAGTAGCTAGGACTATAGGTGCGTGCCACCGTGCCCAGCTCAAGGAGAAGCATGATCTGATCTTTTTGTGCCTTTGGTCTATGCTGTAAATCAGTGGCTGTCAACTGAGAGTGAATTGCAATGTCTGGAGACATTTTGGGTTGTGTCACAAATAGAGTAGGGGGTGGTACTGGCATCTTGTGGGTAGAGGTCAGGGCCACTGTTTAACA